AGTGGAAATTGGGACTTCGGAATTATTAGGTTGTCTCTGTGTAAGGTAGAAGAACAAGTGATTAAATAGTTTAGTATAGATGAGGCTGGAATCTGGATGGCGCAGTGGTTGGAGTTTGACAGTCAGCCAGTTTGCAACGACAAAGTACAGTGTAGGAGAATGAAGCATTAAAAGACTTATTCTGGATTTGGAAAGACAGGATGGAATGACCTCGTTCAATTGACAAATAACTGCCCAGTAACCACATCAGTAGAGAGTATTTCAGGGTAGTTACTACTTTTCTTTCACTACGGAAAATATAGTCCAGGAAAGGGAACAGTAACAGGTCCACCAAACAAGAAATATAGCAACTGAAGAATGAAAAATTATGTGTAGTTGTATATATGGGTATTGGGTGCTTCCTTTTATCAACCGCACATACAGAAGAAAGAATAAAATATCTTCCTATTCACTTTGGAAAAGGGTCTACAAAGAGAAGGCAATGATCTGACGTGGACATGATTGGACTTGGTATTACTTAACTTCAATTCTATGTCTAACTCTATAATATTCTTATGACAACAACAACGTCAACAACAACATACGCAGTGTAGTCCCACAAACTGGGTTCTAGGGAGGGTAGAGTGTATGCAAACCATATCTCTACCTCAGAGGTAGATAATATGTTATTATTATGATCCACCAATCTATTAGCTGTCTACGTATGAGGATGATTCCAATCAACTCTACTTTTCACAGATAAGAAACAGAAAAGAATAGACAAAGTACTCTTAATTTTGGAAGTAGTTGAGATGTCACTTGGCGGAGACACGTAAACGTGCAAGAGCAGAATCAAAAAGTTTCAGACTCGTGTTCGAAAGAACAGTAAAGCCTTTAGAACCTGAGTTAGTTGAAACAACACATACTTCACAATTGAGGAATCCATACCTCAAGTCAAACTCAGATTCACGCCCAGGAGTTGTTTTCTCTATAACAGGCTTCTCCAACAACCCACCACCTTTGCCTGATCCTGCTATAGACATTGCCATTAAAGCATTCCGATTTGTCCATTGTTTTTGGCGAGGTTTCTTATCTCCTGTATCACATAAGCCGACAATTCAATCTTATACCAAGTTACAAACATACGTGAGTCAAAATTCATGAAGAATACAGTGGCAGTCCATGAATTCTCCAACTTATGTACACATATTCTAGTTATATATACATTTGATACAGAGTAATCACTCTGGGTTACTGAAGAGTCGTCCGACTTCTCAGTGACCGAATTAGAAAGGTTTTTATCTACTACTAAGTGCGTTGACAGGCTCAGATTCAAAATTACAATTACGTGTTTCAATTAATGCTCTAGTAAATAGTATTCATTAAATCCATGATATCTCGAAACCAATACATCTCTCTTGGATCAACTTCGAAACTTAACTAGTTTTGAATGGAAGAACGATCAACAGTTTCTAAGAATACTAATGACTAGGTAACGTGATTTGGTCGACCAGCCAAAGATGCAGATAACCAATCATCTCTTCAACTTGGACTCTCATAGTTCTCTCACAAATTTCGGTCCTTTTCAGTGAAGAAAACACCCCCATTTCTGCCCCAGTAAAAGTTCAAAGTTCAATTTTACTCTTTACTTTAAGTTATTGTGAATGTTTCAAGAACAACATACGCAGTGCAATTCCACAAGTGGAGTCTAAGTAGGGTGGCATGTATGATGCCTTACTCCTATCTTGTGAAGGTATAGAAGTTGTTTCCGATAGACCCTTGAATGTTTCAAATGGAAGAATAGCGTAAAGAGCCTTGTCTCTACAGCCCCCACCCACCCCAACACACACACAACCTCCAATTGACACTCTTTTTCGTGTATTGTGTGTATGGTCACTATTACTTTGGGGTAATCACTAGACATCAGGGTTTTCAAAGACCGTAACTTTTTCTCTGTTTTTAACTCTAAATGCACATAAGAGAAATTGAAAGCCAAGAATTCACGAACCCCATCTCAGGCAAGCAAGGATAATACTCCCTCCGTTTAAAAAAGAATGGCCTAATTTGACATGGAACGGAGTTTAAGAAAAGAAAGAAGACTTTTTAATCTTGTGGTTCTAAATTAAAGTTATGTCAAATGTACCAAAATACCCTTTTATCTTGTGGCTTTAAACATGCCACGTGGAAAGTTAAAGTTAAATTGTTGCCAAAAAAGGAAAGGGGTCATTCTTTTTGAAACATACTAAAAATGAAATTGGGACATTCTTTTTTAAAAAGAGGGAGTACATAAATTTCACACAGAAACATTCAAGAAAGCAAACTATTCCAATTAAATAGCCACAATCTCTCAAAAGAACAAGCAATTCTTGGTGAAACAACAATAAAGATTAACAGTTAACATATCCAATAGTGAGAAAGATGGGTTTACCAGGTTTTGGTTGGAAGATTTGATGGGGAGAAAGTGCGACTCGGCCACAAATGGCAGTCTCCATGACCATACCTCCTCTCTCTCTCTATAAATTTCTCTTACCTCCAACCACACACGCACAACACTGCTAATATTCATTAAATCCATGATATCTCGAAACCATTACATTTTTCATGGACCAACTTCGAAACTTTACTGGTTTCAAATGGAAGAATGATCACCAGTTCACAAAATACTAATGACTAGGTAACCATGACTGGTCGACCAGCGAAAGATGCAGATAAACAATCATATCTTCAACTTGGACTCTCATAGTTCTCTCACAAATTTTGGTCCTTTTCAGTGAAGAAAACAGCCCATTTCTGCCCAGTAAAAGTTCAATGTTCAATTTTACTCTTACTTTAAGCTATTATGAATGTTACAGGAAGAAGAATAAGAACAACATATCCAGTGTAATCCCACAAGTAGGGTCTAGGTAGGGTGGTGTTATGCAGCCTTACCCCTACCTTGTGAAGGTGGAGGTGGAGAGTTTGTTTCTGATAGACCCTCAAGTGTGAAGAATAGCATAAAGAACCTTATCTCTACACCAACCACCCCCCCCCCCCCACACACACAGAGCCCCCAATTGATACTCTTTTTCCTGTATTGTGTTTCTGGTCGCTCTTAGTTTGGGGTAATCACTAGACATCAGGGTTTTCAAATCCAGATCAATGACGGTAACTTTTTCTCTGTTTTTCACTCTAAATGCACATAAGAGAAATTGAAAGCCAAGAATTAACGAACCCCATTTCAGGCAAGCAAGAATAATCCATAAATTTCAAATAGAAACATTCAAGAAAGCAAACTATTGCAGTTAAATAGCCACAACCTCTCAAAAGAACAAGCAATTCTTGGTGAATCAACAATAAGGATTCAAGAATCAATCAATTAACTTATACAATACAGAGGAATAGAGAGAGGAAGATGGGTTTACCAGGTTGAGGTTGGAAGATTTGATGAGGAGAAAGAGCAACTCGGCCACAAATAGCAGTCTCCATGACCATAACTCCTCTCTCTCTATATCTCTCTCACCTCCCACCACACACGCACAACACTACTACTACTACCACTGATCTCTGATTTTATAGTCTATCACAAATTTGTTCTCTTTTTTTTTTTCACCTGAAAATTTATATATAGTACTAACTGATAAATAAGAAATAAAATTAAATGAGTGGTTGGTACTATAAACAGTCGATCAAGATTCAAGTCCTTCACACATATGGAAAATAGACACGTATCAGTTTTTGTGAAATCACAACCCTTTCCTTCTTTTCTTATCTTAATACTTGTTAGTTGTTAACATGTATCGTTATTGTGTTTTGGTTATTATATTATTTTGTTATTATTATTTTTTTTTGAATAATTTTATATTGCTTTTCTTATCAATTTTCATGTGTTTTTATTTCATTTTTTTTTAAATAATTATTTTGATTTAATACACTCAAATTGAGCATATTTCTAAAATAACTTTTCTATCTTTGATAATGTCTGCATACACTCTTTATTTTTTATATCTCACTTGTGAAATTATATTGAGTATATGATTATAAATATTTTGATCTTTTTAGTTTAATGTAATTAACAGAAATAATTCATGTTTGTATAAGCTTAAAATAGTTCCTCAAGAAAATATATTTGATTAGTTTTGATTCCTTAAATTTATCATAAGTGAGCATTTTTTTTTCTAATCAAAATATTGTTAGTTTCAACAAAATTGTAAAGTTTTTTTTTTTTAATGAAAACTCATATTGAGAAGTCAAGTTTTTATGGTTTGTGTTACTTTTTATCTACCTTTTTTTTTTCTTTATTTGATGTAATTTTGGGTGATCCAATTTTCGAGTTCTAAAAAGATATTTTTGATGTTTTTAATTAATTCAATTTTTTTCACATTTCCTGTTAAATATACTTTTGGGATTCAATCTTGACGTGTCTTTCCCTTTTTAGTAACCAATTTTTTTTACAAATCAATTATTATATTAATTATATTCATAATATAATTATTAATCAGATATATAAATTAATTATGTCTTTTTTCTTTCTCCCACAACTCACTCATCTCTCTTCTTGTTTTAACATGTAGCTTCAAATTAATTAAGTAAATTATAGCTAGTTTTTGATTTTTTTCTCAAAAGAAAATGACCCTCCTAAGTGTGGTCTCGTAACGACTTTTCGTCATTGTGCCGCTCCTTGTTATAATATATAGCTTCAAATTAATTTAGCAAATTATAACTAATTTTTGAAATTTCGTAAGAAAAAAAAAAGTCTCCTTAATCTATGTGTGGTCTCATAATAACCTTGATGTTTTTTGTTATAACATTTAGCTTCAAATTAATTAAGTAAATTTTAGCTACTTTTTTTAAATTTCCCCAAAAGAAAACGAGTCCCCTTATCTATGTGTGTTATCGTAATAACCTTAACATTTCGTATTATAATATGTAACTTCAAATTAATTAAAACCTTAAATTTATTGTTATAATATGTAGCTTCAAATAAATTAAGCAAATTATAGCTACTTTTTTAAAATTTCCTCAAAAGAAAACGAGTCTCCCTTGTCTATGCCGTGGTCTCCTTACGACCTTTCGTCACTGTGGCGCTTAAGATATCAGTGGATTCATACTGACCACTTACTCTGCAACTCATGCAATGGGCTGCTGCTGTAGAGCCGGTTCCTCGTGGCTGACCACTCCCAGGCTCATTACGAACGCTGCCTGCCTCAACTTTCGGCCTATATTCAACATGTGCAGTGTGAGCTTCCATCGTAACAACACCTCTTCGCCGACGGCTTCCTACAGCCGGCGTTGGTACAAACCGGAACGTCGCGGAGGTATCAGTCAAGCACCGGAAATCGTCCGGCATTGGGTGCAAGGGGATGCTCTTCCCGGTGGCAAACATCAAGGTCAGTCCCTAAATTTGGTTAAGTTTTTTTTTTTTGGGCAACTCTGAAGTTTGAATTAGATTATGAAATATTGGTGCAGAGGAAAGGTTTACAGTTGTTTCGTACAACATTTTGGGAGATAGGAATGTTTCGAATCACGGAGATCTATATAGAAATGTTCTCCCAACTTACTTAGATTGGGACCACCGTAGAAGAGTTATTTGTGAAGAGCTCCTTGGATTGAATCCTGATATAATTTGCCTACAAGTAATTAACAATTGCCCTTTTGGTTACTGGTAGTTTTATCTATGTCTATGCTTTGGAGATGAAACTAATTGAAGAAATTTATTAATGTGATATGAGTAGGAGGTGGACAAGTACTATGATCTACTAAACATTTTGGAGAAATCTGGATATCTCGGCTCCTATAAGGTCTATATCCACCATGGCCTCCCACCAGTTAAAAAAAGAAGGAAAATTGTAGTATTATCATTCATTATACTTCTTGCTCTTAGAAAAATATTTAAATGCGTTACTTAAACATGTAGAGGCGCACTGGTGGTTCTGTTGATGGTTGTGCTATGTTTTGGAAGGTTGATAAGTAAGAGCAAGAAGTAAAAGTTGTACCTTCCAGTTAGTATCTTGATACTTGTTTGGACTGAAATGAATACTTGCTCATGCCAGGTTTCAGTTGTTAGAGGGTGAAAGCGTTGAATTTAGGCAGCATGGGCTTCGGGATAATGTTGCTCAACTCTCTGTTTTTGAGGTAGTAGTTGTGAATTGCAAACTTCTTTTCTTATGTTCTGTAATCTCATCTAGCCTAATGGGATCAGTGAGTGATGAAAGAATGCTCAAAATTTGGATATTAAGCTGGGTGGGTACAAATATGTAAAAGGAGATATGAGGCTAAAAAGAGAGAACCAAACTAAACTGGAAAATATGCGAGAAACTGGCCAACTACCTAAATATGAGCATTTAACTAGTACAAAATGATTAATCTAAAGCTCATCGAGCGTCAAGTTCTTCAGAACATGCGTATATGATGGCCAATGGCTTAAATGACCTCGTATCCATGACTTCCTTCTTGCATAAATATGCGGATCACTTCTAGTAGGTCAAGTTCTGTCCCAATAAAAACATGTGCAGGTAGCATTTGATTAAGCTGATATCAGAAAGCATGTCTCTATTTATTCTGAACTGAAGATTTCTTCTGATTTCCAGGGTGATTTGTCTAGACAATCACAGTTTCATTCTTATTTAGTCATATCCCATTTGATTTTGTATGTCTAACTTTGTCTGGTACAGACAGACGCGTGAAGCCAAGTCAAGGAGGCTCGTAGTTGGGAACATTCATGTGTTATATAATCCAAACCGTGGAGATGTTAAGCTTGGTCAAGTAAGATCCTGTTTTCTAAGTTTTTTTTTTTATTATCAGGTAAACAAAATATCAGTTCATAAATCAAAGGCCAAAAATTGGCCGTAGACAAGTAGGATACCAAAAACTAAAGAACCTGCAAAAGATATGGTTCTCTACAAAAGATACCCAATCCTCTAAACATCCTGGAACTACATGGGTGCAACAAAAGTAAATAAGGGACCAGAGACTACTGCTCAACTGCCCAAAACTCAATTCTACCCGTTCAAAAGCCCTCATATTTCACTCTCTCCAAGTGATCCACATCAAAGTCAGAGGAATAATTTTCCATGCCCTTCTTCCTCCTGCTTCTTCCAGCTTTCCAGCTAAACAACAGATCCTTGACAGACTTTGACATCACCCAAGACATACCAAACCAACTTAACATATGCCACCATAGTCTTGTAGTCAGCTGTAGTAAAAGCTCATCTACCTCTTTTTCCGCCTTCTTGCATTAGTAACGCTAGTTGATAAAAACAACCTTTCTTTTCCTTAGGTTTTCCTCCGTCATAATCACCCCTCTAACAGCTAACCATGAGAAAACGCACACCTTCCTTGGCACCTTAGGAATCCAAATCGACTTTACGGGAAACATTTCTGCCCTCATCAAGCGCTTCTCGTAAAACTAAAAGGACAGAAAAAACGCCTTTGTTCCCTAACTTCCATCTCATAGAATCGGGTCTTCCAACTGGCTCACAATGCCGATGGAATAAAGCTAACAATCATTGAAAATCCTTCACTTTCCAATCTTGGAAATCCCTCTTAAAACCTCAAATTTTAGAAAGTATCTCACCCTTGTGTCCCCCTAATTTGTTGGATTATCACCTCACTTTAACTAGAAACCTTGATAATGCTTGAAAACTCATCTCTTAACAACAAATCTCCATACCACAATTTGTTGTTGTGTTTTAAGCCTAAATTGTGTGTTTCCAATGCATGGTTTAGTAATGCAAAATACATTTGCACCTGATTGTTATAATTTAAAGATTGTTATGGTCATTAATAATTTAGAGATTGTTATACATGAATCACTTAGGCCTTATTTGTTTTCATTAAGATTAAGACCTCTAAATCTAAATACACATCTAAAATTAAGATGTGCATTAAGATTTATAGGTCTAAATATGAATACACATCTGAATATTAAGAGGTTGTTGTAAGATTTGAATACTAAATAGTTAACCCTGCTTGTTTTCTCAACATTTGAATGTATAAAATTTGTCTTTGTTTTAAAAATAATAAATATAAAGTTTAAATAAAATACTTAATTGATCTAATATTATATTAATCAAATATTTTAAAACATTTATATGACAATTAGTGGTAGTGATGGCTAACGATGATGACTGTGTGTATCGATTTGGGATGGTGTTGAATGATGATTGTGATTGTGGTATGATTTAATGGTTGGTAGTAGTGATTTGGGCTTGAGATTTTCTTGTTAGAGGTCTCAAGTTCGAAACTCCTTGCTAACGAAAGCAAGGGGTTTGCCTTCTGGGTCAAGCTCATCGCATCAGGCTTGCCTAGTGCGGGTTACCTCTCATGTGTGGTTTGTGAGCTATTGCATAGGAGCGGGGGTTTTACCTTATGCGCACCAAAAGAGTAGCGGCTACGATTTTACCTTGTCATAAAAAAATATAATGGTTGGCAGTAGTGATTAACTATAGGTGTTGATGGTGGTGGTTGATAATTGGTAGTGAATGATATTGATATCTAATGGTGATGATAAATGATGATGGCTATTATCGGTATTTAATGTTAACTAATATGGTAATTATCGATAGTGAATAATGAATGTAATAATGGTTGGTAGTGGTGATTGCAAATAATGTCTAATGGTGATGATAATTAATTTTGGTGATTGGCGGTAATGGTGGTTGTGGTTATGCTGAGGATGGTTGTTGTGGATGGTAGGTGGTGGTGATAGATGATTGTGGTAGTTGTGGCTAAAATGATGGTTGTGGGTGAAGGTAGATAGAGTAGTGATGAATTTTTTAAATAGACGTCTTAATGATATTAAGACTTGGTTATAAATCCTAATCATACAAAATTATTCATACCCATTAAGTGGTTGTAAAATAAGAAAAACAAACGCACTGAATGATGAAGATTCAGATCTGGAAAACAAAACAAACAGACTTAATGACTCAGATTTGATTGATTAAGATTAAGACCTTCATTAAGTGCAAACAAATTAGGCCTTACTTTGAAGCAATAGTTTTGACTTTAATCAGTAAATACCTACATTGCTAATGTAGTAATTGAGGTTGCACAAAATTGGAGCTAGAAAAGAAATAAGTGGAACCTGGAAAGTATTCTCTAAGGCTAATGTAACTGAGTGAAATTTATTTTGTAACATACAAGAAAGGAACCCATTTGTTTGTGCTCCCGATAAAAGAAATAATGTACTTTATTCCCTTACATACTTGGATTGGGTTGAAAAATCAGACTCAATTTCTCTTGGAATCCTAAATATGCTAATAAAGTCAATAGATATTTGATAAACACATATTACAAAGATTTCACCATCTCATTGAGCAAGCCTTGATGTAAAATGTAAATGCACTAACATTGCTGGATATGGAACATAAAAGAAAATCAATGAGTGTATGAGGGTTTTCTTTGATCCATCACTTTCACTTTGTTCACTAGTTCAATAAAAGATTTCAATTGATTTACCAATCTAGACAACATAAAGCATCATTAAAGACTACAAATGAAAAATTAAAATAAATAAATTAATGACATAAGAACTCCATAAACTTTTATTTTGTGGTTTAAAATCTCATATAAATAGATGACTTAATAAAAAAAGGCAATAATTGATCATTTAGAAAACTCGATCCCTGGTAAAGTCTTCTCCAAGCATAGCTCTAATTTCAAGAACTTCAGTTACCAACTTCATGATAATTACGAGTTTCTGAACTCTCATCCTCTTCTGGCTCACGAGCAACATTTAAATCAATCTTGAGATGCTCGGTCAGAATAGCACTTTTTGTTTCTTCTAGAACTTTCTTCAGCCGCAACTTCATTGCCAGCTTTTGCTCCACCATGTGTTTATCTTGAGGTATTTCTAAGCCAGGGTGCATAATCTTATACATTAGTTTACGTTTTTTCTCTTTCTCCTCCAGTGCTTCTAATTCTTTATGGAAATCTTCCAACACCTCAAAACCATTTGATTTACCCTCAACATAAACATGTTGGCTTTCCTCTAGTTTCACTTTGAAATATTTATCAATTATTTCCTCAATACTTGTGGAGCCATTGGAGCATGGTTTTCCACTTGGTGAAAAAAGTAGAACACCAACATCCGCTCCGGACATAGTTGCAAGCTTATTTGCTTGCTGGAATAGTGTATTTTTTCTTTTTGAGAAGCTTACAGCGCGTGCTTTCTCAGATTCGATCAACTTCATTTCAATCTTTTGCTTACCTCTTTTGGCCTCATTTTCCATTGCTAAAGAAACTAATACAAAGAAGAAAATAAGATGTTTTGTTGAACAAGTCTGAGCAATGTTAAGAGGAACACTTGGGTAATTTATAGTAGGTGGGTGAGTGTAATTGTCACGAGTATTGTAATGTCTATTTAATGTTTTCTTATCAGAAGTCTATTCTTGTCACGTGTATCGTCACGTTTATTTATTGTTATCATATTATGACTATTTGTCACGTGTATTGCTATGTTTATTAAGTGTTTTCATATTATGTGAATTTATTACGTGATCACCATGACTCCCAACAAAAGTTGCCTTCTTATTTATTCCACTGCAATTGCAAAGTAATATGTTGAATTCAATCTAACTGTAAATTAAAATAGTTTGTTATTTTATTTTAATGTTTTCATCTTTTGAGTCTATTTGTCACGTGTATTGTCATATTTATTTATTGTTTTCATATTATGAGTCTATTTGACAAATGTTTTGTCACGTTTATTTAGTCTTTTCATATAATGTGAATCTATTACGTGATTACCATGATTCCCAACAAAAGTTGCTTTCTTATTTTTTTCCACTGCAATTGCAAAGTTATAATTTTGAATTGAATCTAAAGATATATTTTTGTTAAATATATGTAAATAAATTAAATCATTGTTATTTTTCATTTATCTTTAGATTTATTTTATTTATTTTTGTCATAAAAAAAATCTAAAGATAAATAAAAAATAACAATGATTTAATTTATTTACATGTATAATTTTAATTTGGAAGGGGAGCCTTGAATCACCGGTAAAGTTTTCCTCGTGTATAGACCACAAGTTTGAACCTTGAAAGCAGTTACTAATGCTTTCATTAGGATAGGCTGGCTACCTGACACCCCTTCGGTGAGGCCCTTCTCCTAATGTGATTTAAGAGAAAAATCTCCCTAAGATGATTTTACACCTCTAATTAGTTACAATTATTGTTATTTTTTAAGCTTGATTAGCTTGATTGAAGTTGTTGAACTAATTACTTACAATTTTTTGGCATCGTCTTTATCTCTTTCATTGTTATTTTTAAGATTTCCTTTAAATAATATCGACAATTTTATGCCCAATTACATTAAATTCATAGTGCATACGTTACAACTCACATAATATTGTGCTCCTTAATACACTTTAGACCTATAATATAATTATTCCATAAAAAATACATGTCTTTTATCTATTCCGTCTTTAATACACCAGGTATGATTTAACTCTTGATCTATTTTAATACTTATCCTTAGATTGGCAACACCGGTTGGCTCGACCAATTCTTAGTTCTTATATCTCCTACCTTGCTCAACTGCCGTTTAGGGCAGTCCTGACTTTCAATTGCATCGTTTTCTTTAATCTGTCCTGACATTAATGAAAGTGGGACCACATTCCAAACACTTTGTTTTATCTTCCTTCTCCTGCTCTTTCTGCTAAACATCAACTCTTTCACGGTTTTTGACATCCTTTATGGAGTGTCAAACCATCTTAACATAGCCCACCATAGCATTATTGATAATCCACAATGTAGAAG